AGTTATTTTCTTTCAGAAAGTCATTATCTTTCCTTTCAGCGATGGTGAAAATGAGGTCTACAGAGATTCAATGGTTTTCTCAGTAACCTATAGAGGACAGGAAGCAAAGCCAGGCTTTGAACATGGGCCAAACCTGCTCCCAAATCCAGGGTTCTGGCTTTTATACAAGGGGTCACCACTACGGCCCATTGGCCAAGTCTGATTTCTGCCTGTCTTTGTATGGCCTCTGAGCCAAGAGTGGGTTTTACATATGACCTCCAAAGACATGAAATGGTCCACTCCAAAAATATAATTCCATTTTTAAAATTAATTGTTGTTGTTGGTAGGTGCCATAGAGTCAGTACAGACTCATAGCGACCTTATGTACAGCAGAATGAAACACTGCCTGATCCTGGAGTCCTGGTCTGGTGCTGTGGGTCAATGCGCTGGACTGCAGAGTGGGTTTGAACTGCAAGGTTGCCAATTCAAGTTCATGAGTCGCTCCTCAGAAACCCTATACTGGATCACTATGGGTCAGAACCGACTCGACAGCATTTAACAACAACAGCAATATATTTTACAAATTGCGCTTTTATTAGTATTATTAGAGCAACACCTATGGGGACTGGAACCCAAAGGAACTGTCTTAGTTTTCTGGGTCTGGCAAGCATTCTGCCCCTGACAAGGGGCAGCCTTACCATTTTCTATCTCTAGTTTTAGTGAAAAACATCTGAGTTTTTCTTTTCTGACAGGTTTCCACCTTAACACAGGTTCTGGAGTTTGCAGGCTTTACTGAATTATTGTTATTTTAAATTTTGAATTTTATCAGTCAACATTTGTTGTCTCTTTTGTTACCTATTGTCTTTGACTGTTGACCCAAAGCCTGAAATACCCTCTGCCCTTCACAGAAGAAGTTTGCTGACTCTGGCTTTGGATGATAAATTCTGGTTTACTAATCACCAACTGTGGTGGTGGTAGTGATAGTGTGCCATGGAGTTGGTTCTGACTCATAGTGACCCTGCATAGGGTTTCTGAGGCTGTAAATCTTTACAGGACCAGAAAGCCTCATCTTTCTCCCATGGAACGGCTGATAGTTTCAAACTGCTGACCTTGAGATTAGCAGCTCAACTCATAACCACTAAGTTACCAGAGCTCCTTAAGCACCAACTGCAAGTTAGCTAAGGTAGAAATGTTTACTGTTTTAACATGAAAAGATGGGAAGCACTCATTAAATCTTAAGCACTCAGAGTTCTGGTGTGGTGCTGTGGGATAAAGCACTGGGTTGTAAGGTCAGCAGTTCAAACTCATCAGCCACTCCTTAGAAACCCTATATAAAGTTGCTGTGAGTTGGAACCAACTCAACGGTACTTAACAACAAACAACAACATTCTTAATTTAGGAGCCCCTGGGTGTTATAAAAAGGAGTTCTAGTGACAATAGAAGATAAACACTGGACTGCTAACTACAAGGTTGGCAGTTCAAACCCAGCAGTCGCTCTGTGAGAGAATGATGAGTCTTACTGTTCTGTAAAGATTCACAGCTGAGGAAACCTGATACAAAATTTTTACGAGTAAGAATCAACAGGATGGCAGTGAGTTTTTTGGGTTGGGGATGTTATAAATGGTTGGTGCTGCAGGATAATGCACTGAACCACAGGATCAGTTTGAACCACAAGATCGGCAGTTCAATCCCTCCAACTGCTCCTCAGACACCCTATACAGGGTCACTATGAGTTGGAATCGACTTGACGGCACTTAACAAAAACAGCACATGGTTAATGGGCTTGGTTGCTAACTGAGAAGTTAGAGGTTCAAGTCAGAGTCATCTACTTATGAAAATTCAGTTGCTGAAAATCCTACAGGATACGGTTCTATTCTGGCACCGTGGGGTTGTCGTGAGTTGGATTGGCTTGATGGTACTGGTAATGGTGGTAGATTCCCAGTTTACTTTTGTCTATAAAGAGGAAGCAAGAGTCTAAAGGGGGAAGGTTAAAGTTAGAAGATGAAATTGCCAAGAAAGCCCATGTTCTGAGCGCAGTCTCTAAGTGTAGTAGTTGTGGCATACATATCTACAGAAGGAATGGGTTTAGTTAACCGGGTATATTTTGACCAGGATCCTGATCACCTAAGAATGTTCCTCAGAACACACTGAATTTGTGGTTTTAGCTATGTCCATGAGCATACTGATGTGAGTTATCACCGAAATGAAAGCCTTGTTCCTCTTCCTGTGACTGAGTCCCCATTCAGCTGGGACTCATCCAAGGGTCTAATTCAACAAATAAGGGAGGATGCAGCATCCATTTATTTTTGCCCTCTCTTCAGCATAACTGGGAATTGTATCC